CCAGCGTCACACCGGCCGTTCGGCGCAGGTACCCGGTGTGGCCGAGAACCGCCCGTCCGTGCTGAAGGGGGACCACCTCTTCGCCCACCTGAGCAGTGAGCGGGGCCACTCCCCACTCGTCCAGTACAAGGGCTACGTGCACGGCGTGGAGCTGGAGAAGGTCAGGCTGGGCTTCTCCTCCAAGTGAGTGGTGTCTGGCCCCGGCCGGGCTGGTGGGGACCCGGCAGCCCCCCTCAAACACACCGAAGGCTGAGCATGGGCTGGGAGGGCGTCGGGGAGCATCCCGTGCCCTGCTCACACTGCTCCTTCCCAGGCTGCAGAAGAAGTTTGTGAACAACCTGAAGTTCGACGTGACCTTCACCTTCAACCGGCTGCCACTGGCAGGCGAACGAGGAGCAGTGCAAAGCCGTGACGCACATCGTGACGGGGATGTCCAGGCCAGCCCCGTACCTCATCTTTGGCCCTCCTGGGACCGGCAAGACGGTCACCCTTGTGGAAGCCATCAAGCAGGTGAGCGGCCAGGGCCCAGGTCCAGCCCCGGCATCGCTGCCCACCCCAGCCTGTGGGGCTCAGTGCCATCGCCCCCTCCTCCCACCTAGGTATGGACGTGCTTCAAGGACGCCCGAATCTTGGCCTGCGCCCCTTCCAACAATGCCGCAGACCTGCTGTGCCAGCGCCTCATCAAGGACATCGCTCCCCGGTACATCTACAGGCTCATCGCCAACTCCAGGAACTACCAGGAGGTGCCTGCCGATATCAGGGTATGTCTCTGCCCCCCTGTCCTGGCACCCCATGGCATGGCCGGGCCGGCGGTGCCCGGGAAGAGCAGGATCCCACCAAACGCCTGTTTTTCAGCCCTGCTGCAACTGGGACGATGAGCAGAGCTGCTACGTGTACCCGAGCAAGGAGCACCTGGGGCGCTACCGGATCCTCATCACCACACTGGTGACAGCAGGAAGGTCAGAGGACCTGGGGGTGTCCCCATCGCCCACGGCGGGTGGACCTGGGGCCAACTCATGAGCAGGCTGTGAGGGCAGCCCCGCCGGGGATCGGCAGGGAGGGGGTGCAGAGGAGGGTGGGCAGCAGAGGGGACCCCTCCTCTGCGGGAGGATGAGGGCGAGGGGAGGAAGGATGGCCAGCCGGGGCAGGGATGCTGAGGCAGCCATGCTCCACCTCTCTCTCCCCCAGGCTGGCGTCGGCCAACTTCCCCCCAGGGTTTTTCTCCCACGTCTTCATCGATGAGTGCGGTCAGGCGGTAGAGCCGGAGAGCGTAGTCGCCATCGCAGGTGAGTGGTGCCCGGCTGCCGTCTGAGGGACCAGTGTCTCTGCATGGCCCAGGGAACCCCCTGTCCCCTGCTGAGCTCTCCCTCTGCACAGGGCTCCTCAACGCCATGGACCAGGAGACCAACCCCAACGGGGGACAGCTGGTGCTGGCAGGGGACCCCCAGCAGCTGGGCCCTGTCCTGAGGTCGCCGCTGGCCATCAAGCATGGCTTGGGTGAGCGGGGGGAGGGGTGGGAGCGCTGCCCGCGCCCGGGGGCCGAGCGGCCTCGCAGGGAGCCACGGGGTCTCGCTGGGCGCAGGCACCTCGCTGCTGGAGAGGCTGATGCTGCACAACCCCCTGTACAAGAAGTCGAGCGGAGGATACGACCCGCAGTTCGTCACCAAACTGCTCTGGAACTACAGGTGGGGACAGGGACAGCACAGGGATGGGCACAGGCAGGGATAGGGGTGCTCTGCTGCGTGCAGGATCCGTCTGCGCTCCCCAGAGCCTCATAGTGCCCGGCTGGTGCGGGAGACAGGAGCGCACCCGCTGTCCCGACCGCCCGGGAGGGTGCCGGGGCAGCGTGGCCCCGGTCCTGGGCACTGTCCTGCCTCTGCCAGGTCCCACGAGGCCATCCTCAAGATCCCCAACGAGCTCTTCTACGACAGCGAGCTGAAAGCCTGCGAGAGCGACGAGCTCGACGTCCGGAGTCTGTATTGCGCCTGGGAGGAGCTTCCCAAAAAAGTGAGGGGGGCAGCAGGGAGGGGGCCTGGGGGGAGCCCCAAGCCGCAGGCGGAGCAGAGCCCCATGCATTCCGTCTCCAGGGCTTCCCCATCATCTTCCACGGGGTCTGCGGGGAAGATCGGAGAGAGGCCAAGAGCCCTTCATTCTTCAACACGGCTGAGATCGAGGTGCTTGTCCACTACCTCAAGAAGCTGCTGCAGAGCCGGGGCAAGGGGGGCTGCCCCAGCGTCTCGCCCAAGGAGGTCGGCATCATCTCTCCCTACAGAAAGCAGGTGAGGGGCACGGCTCTGCGGGCAGGGGACCGGCACAGACCTGCCCGGGCGACAGGGGGCACTGGGGCGGATGGGCAGCCCCGGGGCTGGCACGCGAGGACAGTGCTGTGGTGGCTGGACCGTGCTGTGTGCCTCCCTCCAGGTGGAGAAGATCCGGAAAGCCATCACCTCCCTGGACCCTCTCCTGAAGAAGTTGCCAGACATCAGCCTACTGAAGGTGCAGTCCTGGGTACAGGGGGTGAGAGGAGCCCACCCCAGCCCGGGGGCGCTCCCCGGGCCCTCACCTGCTGTCCCCAACCCCAGGTGGGCTCCGTGGAGGAGTTCCAGGGCCAGGAGCGGCGCGTCATCCTCATCTCCACCGTGCGCAGCTGCAGCGAGTACTTCCCACTCGACCAGACCTTCAATCTGGGCTTCCTCAAGAACCCCAAGGTACTGTGCTGCCCTGAGTGGACTCGTCCCCCTCAGCCCCCCGCTCCCGTGCGGTGCCC